TTTACTTTTCTTTCCCAGAACAAATTTTGTTCTCCAAGTATTTACGGAAACTAATTATTTTTGGAGGTCATTTTTAGATGTTAGATTGTCTTATATTCGAATTAAAAGCTTGTTCTGCCCAAGGAAAAGCGATCACGTTCGGCTTTCCGCAATTTCTACTATAGTCGGGCACAAGCTAGGAATGCGCAAAATAAACACTGCCACTTATCAATCACGGCGTTGAAGTGCTTCGAGGATCAACCCAGAAAGGTTGTTCCGCCGTAACGAGTTTTGTGACGTCAGCGCAACGTATGTCTCGGTTCCTGTGCGATACTTGCGTATTGCGGTGGAACAGTGGACGACAGTAATGAGGATGCTTATGATAGGAGCGGATTCTGAAATTTTACACATCTCCTTCAATATCTTTTTCAGAAAAATACGCGAGGCAAATTAAGCAGGTGCCAGATATCTGACACATTCATCAAGTCACGGAACAACGTTGATTTGGTGTACTGCAGCTCACACTGCTTTCACCAATTGTTTAAAAGAATATATGTTGATAAAATGTGCAAGGAAAATAAAACTGTAGCAGCTAATCTATACGTTTACGCGAATGAAACATAAAATTGAAGATTATACAGTATATGACGAGTCCTCAGTTACTGGCAAGATATTTACTAATTTCAAACCTAAGCTACTTGGCCTATGCAACTCTTACGTCTCTACCCTACCGTGATTCGGAAGAACACGTTCATTTTAGTGTACACTAGGTAATTAAGCGCAGTGGCTATCATTGGGGAGCTCATGTTTTGGCTCTTCTACCAAAGCGCCATTGTTGCGTTACCATGTTGCGCCTCTTTGTCTGATTTAGGAATAGAAATTGCGCGAGGAACAAATTTGTTTAGCTTGTACAACTTTCATCACTTACGAGAAAACATTGTGTATGCATCAAAATAAAAAGGGTTAGAATCTTAATGATGACGATTGATTATCTTAGAGATCTATATGCGCTCTGCTTATTGTTTAAATTAGCGTGTTCAGTAGTGCTTCACTTAAAATATCGCCCCGGTGAAAGTTGGCATGCAATACATGAAATTGCTATTTCTTGTTGTACAAGGTAAATAAATATAAAAATAACGCACTGTGTAAAATATGTCGTACAAAATGTAAACGTATCAGTTAATTGTAGCTGTGCAGTCGGCACTAAAAGAGATCAGCACAAGTAATCAACCACCGAAACCGTGAAATCGCCGGACGCGGCGCTGGGTTGTCGTGAATACACCAAGAGTGAAAGTGGTCCGGCCGTTTTCACATTTTAATCTCGAGGGACTCTTGGAAAGCTTTTATCATTGGCCACTATGTGTTTTTTGTGTGTGTTTTCTATCGCAGTAGCGTTAAGGAGTTTGTGTCGCAGAAGAGCCGGCCTCGGTGGCATGGCAGACAAGCCGGCGTCAGTGTCGTGACGAGAAAATCTTATTGGTCGATAGGGTCATGACGTCACAGCCACATGACCTCGTGCGGGAATTTTAAACAACCCACAACGCTCACGTGAAACGTGACGTCACGCGTGGAATGAAATTGATTAAAAACATGATACGTAATGTGAATTAAAGGTCGCCGCGTTACTCAAATGATTTCACTTAACGAAGTAATTAATTTACCCTAAAAAAATGTGAAGAAGTTTAGGCTGGATTCAAACCCACGACCCTTCGGTTGCGAGCCAGACAAGATACTGACTAGGCTACGCAGAAGCATGCTTGCACGGCGAATGACGAGGCCATGCGAACGGGGCCCAAGGAGGCTCTCGCGTTTTCTTATTGGATCGCTAGTGTCATTTATGAACCGCGCCAGGTGAGTGTCTAGAAATCATTCAATCACGCTAAAACAGTAAACAAAGTTTAAGCATGTCCCGATAATTCCGATACACCCGGAGAGCACAAGATATGCCTCGCGTGCATTTTCGTGCGTTACGATCTGTTATGCTCGGTTTTGTGGAAGCTTGGGGTATAAGGGGGGGGGGGGGGGGGGGGTCGCATACTTTGCACGCACGACACAGTTATATGCACCTCGGGTTGGCCAGAATTATTAAGATATGTTTTCAGGACCCGCGACGTCGTACAATAAGCGTAGAATCGCGTGGAATCGCTTGCGCACGCAGCTGGTTCCCGAACGCTTCGCCATTCGGGAGCCAGCTGCGTACGCCGACGGTCTGCCGCAACAGCGTATTCTCCGCGAATGACGTTAAATTCAACTGTTCCCGTTTCCGTTTGCCTCATCTTCGTGGCGCCAAGCTTTCCGGCCGCGGACCGCTCGGTTTGGGGTGGATTCTTGCTGCACCTTTCGTTAGATCTCGTTCATCGTATTTAATTGCTAATAAATATGATTAGTTATGAGTACGTATGCCTTCTGTAGGCTTTGTATCTTCGTGTATTGCCTGCTATGGGCTATGCTCGTTTTATGTTGCCTTGGTCTGCGTGTAGCGGTTTTTCAGTACACTCGAACATTAAATCCACATTTTTTAAAAGTAGTTTTTCGGCTTTCTAGGGACCTAATGATATACTTAATACATTTATACAGTGTTATGAAGTTTATATTTCATATTAGATATATAAACTGAACCGAACCTGTCGTTCGGCTTTCCCGCCATTCAACCTCTCTTAAAACGCTTAGAACGAAGGTACCGTCAACAACAGTGAACCGTTGGTTTCGGTAGAGTTTAGTGAACGAAGGGAGGGGGGGCGGGGCGGTTAAAACGCACTTCGGTGATACACGATCAACGCCTGCCGGCCAGCGCAGCAACTACTCCTTACTGTGTGTCACGACGCAGCGTCCACTTCCAATTCGGATTGGATGGCGTGAGCGTCCGCTCGCGCCATCCAATCTGGCGCGAGCGGCGTTGCCATGCGTCCTATAGCCCACTGTTTACATGTACGCGTACCGGTGTAATCTTACAGCGCAGCTCTTAGGCGACGGTTTCCGGCTTGAGCGGCGTCGCCGTCCCCGTCGGCGTAACCGCGCGTTGCATTATGGGACGTTCCCATAATGACGTCACACGTAACATCACGTGTGACGTCACGAGGGTCACGAGGGATGTCACAGGGCGCCTAAATGTAGCGGGAATATTTTCCCGCTAAATTTGGAGGGGAAATTTTCCTGCTAAATTTAGCGGGTGAATTTTCCCGCATATCTAGCGGGGAAATATTCCCGCTAAATTTAGCGGGGAAATTTTTTCCCCAATTTTTTACGCTACCTTCAGCGGGGGAATTTTCCCGGTATATTTAGCGGGAATATTTTTCCGCTAGGTTTAGTGGGGAACTTTTCTCGACAAATATAGCAAGAAACTACTCCCGCTAAATTTAGCGGAAACCTTTAACCGCTTAGTTTAGCAAAAACATTTTAGAAAAATATTTTCCCGCTACATCTAGCGGAAAAAAATTCCCCGCAAAATTACGAGAGAAAATAACCCCGCTAAATTTAGCGGGAAATTTCACCGCAAAATCTAACAGGAAATATTCCCCGCTAAATTTAACAAAAAATCTTTCCCGCTAAATCTAGCGGAAAAAATTCCCCGCTACATTTAGGGGAAACATTTTCCCTCTAAATTTAGCAGAAAAGTTTCTTGGCTAAGTTTAGCGGAAAATATTCCCGGCTAGATTTAGCGGAATGATTGTTCCGCTAAATTTATCGGAAAAAATTTACCTGAAAAAAATTTCCGCTATATTTAGCGTAACAATTTCCCCACTAAATTTTCCGGGAAATTCAGCGAAAATTTCCCGGGAAATTCAGCGAAACTTTCCCGATAAATGGGAGGGGAGCAGATGTGGGAGGAGGAGCATATATCCTCCCCTCCACACCTCCCTCCTCCCCCTCAGGAGCCACGCTCTAATTCGCCATTGAAGATAATTGTGCACGTCTTTAATTTTTCTGGCATATATTAACTTAATTTCTGCGACGTGCAAGCAGAAGTTCGTACTAAAACTTCGTCCACGTTAACTGGAAAACACCTGACATATTTCAATTATTTAACTCAACTTCCAAATCGTCTTCATATCAAATCGACTTCCAATTGCCTAAAGAGGCCATGAAATTAATTTTGGCCTGGGAGAAATGATTTTAAATTGGAATTTTACCAGTCGCATATCGTTTAAAAAGCCATAAAAATAAAGAAAAAGAGAGGGCAATCAATCAAAACCTTGCGTTTCGGTAAAACAATTTCTGAAAATATAGCGGACTTTTTTGTACCTTCCTCCCTTCGAAAGCTCTCCTCCTATTCACTATGACACACCCGCAGTAACCAAATCACGTCAACCGACCCCAGCTCATGCATTTGACACTAGCACTGCGTTACTCGGACATATACGCTCATCAACAATCAATTAGACGTCGAACATTTGGATTCGCGTAGGACTGAGGGCGTCAGACAAGCTGCATCTTCCAACAGCGAGCTCCTCTCTTCTAAAATTAGCCCTCTCGATCCTCTCAGCCCAAGGCGTTCACAGACCGCGATAAACCGGAACATTCAGTTGTGCCTTTTTTTGTTTTCTTCCTTCTTCGCGGCCGATGCTCTCTCCATACTCGACGGGCGACACCTGCTAGAGGTTTGATCTTGTAATACCTGGACACCAACCGACGTAATACCTTCAGTGTCGGACCCCACCCTGCGCCTCGGGCGCCAGCAAAAAAAGAAAGAACGACTGTCAAGGCTTCGAGAGGAAACGCGTCGTTTTTTGGACCAGACTCGCTTCCAAAGCCCGAGGGCCCTGCACCTTTTGTCTTTGACCTCGCAACCCCGCGGAAAGAAAATTTCTGTTCCGGGGGCCCGCGCAAGCGAAGGTTAAGGAACTGGCGGAGGCCTTAAACGTCTCGGTCTTGATATTGACACCCCTGGGGCGGCAGAAAGAAAGGGGGGCCGCCCTCGGTGAGTGACGTCGACAGTGCGCTCCCGTATAAATGGACTGGCATGGCTGCGTCGGTCACTTTGTCGATTCCCCCCTGTCGCAGAGAGAACCAGCGGGTCCAACATGAAGGTAGGATGGAACACCGATCCTGCGCGTGACACTCGATGCCAACGCGATCGATCGCTGATTACCGCTGGAATTAATGAAGACGTGTCATGACCCTGAAGCTGATCGTGCCGATAAACGGTCATAAACATTCGTTTTTATTTTTTGTTGTTGTTGTTGAACAGATTGAAGTATTTCTTTTTGTTATCATGAAGGCTACAAAGCTCGTCTCATGTAAGCTTTGTAATGAACGCTTCCCACTTCGTCACTGACCAAGCAGATCCGGAAGTGAAACACTTGATCCTCGAGGAACACTTATTGTTTGTTCTAGTTCTGAAAATTTTCCAGCTTTCAAGAAAATAAGATGCTGATTAGTAGTTTGTAGGCTCCTTAATTTTTTACAGTTTTCTTATTTCTGCAAAACAGGGCATAATAGGCTCCACAGTGGTAGGCCATTTAGAGTTAAACGCCCGTTGCGTTTTATAAGCCTGACGTACAGATATCAGAAGCCGCCTACACGGATGGGCAGGGTAGGAAAAATTATATGGTGTGACTAATCTTGACTACACTTTTCATATTTCCATATTTATTTTTACTTTTGCTTACCTAACATCGTGCGTTACTACTGCGTTTAATTAGAAGAAAGACAGTATATTTTCTATATGTGGCCATATCCGCTACTTCTTTAGTTGTCAATGAGTAGGGAAAAAGTGAATAAAGCGTGCTCATGAGAACAGGTATTTTTTGAGGAAACTATAAAAATGGCGAGGCTTATAATCATTAAAACTTTCTCACCGGGCTTTGGTGCGCTCTCATAACTCAGGCTTCGTATCAGCTGTTTAAGGTAGAAGCCCCAGTGGTCATTAAATGGGCGATATATGTTATATACACGTTATTCATGATTGGCCATGTTCTGACGCATATTCAGCCTACTCCCGTAATTCCAGCTGTACTTCCTTTTTGTTCGCCTATTATATTTGAAGAAACAAAGAAAATCAATTTGTGCTGCCTCAGAGGCTTCGACAAAACGTGCAAGCCTAGCGATGCCTGGTTCACGTTTCAGCTAAAGCGCTGTCATTCATTAAAGTAAGTTACGTTACAACGCCTGACTCTGAGATTGCCACTGCATGAGTGAGGTTTAGATCCCACTTTACAAAGGGAGGTAGCTCGAACTTGTTTTTCAATCTTAATTGTCGTTTGGATTCACGTCCGTTTACTTTCCAAACCACCTTCTGTAGTTTGAGAAGTAAAGGCACTCACTTAGGTTATTTTTGCTATGTTCATTTTAACCATGAACTCCTACAACTACACGCTACTGCTTCCATGGAAATAACATACGTTTAACAAAAGGAACACAAATGAAGCTAAAGGAAGTACGGCGATTGTGTTTCAGGTTGCCATTCTCTTCGCCCTTGCCGCCGTGGCAAGCGCCGGCCACTTGCACGCTCCCGTCGTGCACGCCGCAGCTGTCCTCGAGTCCGGACACTCCACTCAGCACCGCACCCAGGACGTAAGCAAATACAGGAATTTTCTTCGTGCTGTCTTCATATCTAGAGATTTGAGGCCTCGTTTCCTCGCGTTTTTTGCCACTCCTTCTTTTAAAAAAAAGGTGTCAAACGTAGACCATTTGGAATAGGTGATTGTTTGTCTCCGAATCTAGCTAAAACCGGATGAAAGAAAATCGGGCTCAGTGCAGAGTCCCACCGAGTTTAAACAGTTTATTGAAAATGAGCAGGAAATACGAATTCCACTATGAATAGTGAGAATGCACAAAAGTCAGGCCATTCACCGTCGTCGAACATCTCTATCTTATAGGACTGTGAACTTATACCACTTTAACTATTTAGTCTTAGCGCAATGGCAATAAGGAAACAACGAGTCTGAAGAATTCGACAGCACCTCGTTCGCTGCATTGGTAAATTTTCTTTCCTGATGTCCGGAAATCAGTAGTTTAGTACTTTGAATCTTGCTGTACGTGTCGCTGTGTGTTCTCGCCGTTTGAACCTCTGGTAATGCGCAACTAACGTAAGTTTGTAATTTGTGTGACGAAGACGTATTCTACATATGTAAAAATTTTGTCGAATTTATACCCTCCGCATTTACGTAAAAAATAAAAGTGTCAGTTACGTGCATGCAGTGTCTTCGTGATCTAAGCAGTACTGAGTAATGGTCTACTGAGAACAATATACAAGCTTTAAATTACGTTTTGCACCGTTAGAACGTCTCCGTTCTAATATATGCATAATATATATACTAATATATACACAATGAACCACGCGTACGAGTAGAAGAGCGCTATACGAGGAACGAACTTTCTTTATGGGGATTCAAAGGGGCTTGATGAAACCAGTCGTCATTAACCTGTTCTTGTCCCAACCAGTTGTTTTCGTTGGGAGATGATAGAGGCCATTCTCAGGGAACTTAATAGCAGCTACACCTATTTCAAGGTAACGTTGAGTCAGCACTTAGCAATAAAGCGATACCCCGCTAAGCTTGGCAGCGGTACATGTCGATGTGCCCAGCAGAATCGAACTCTGCGCTAGTTAAACAAAGCGCGTTAGCAGTTGGAGAAGTGGTATGCCTGCTCTGAGTTGTTTAAGGTATGCAAAACAAAGGAAGGTAGTCTTGTTTAACTGAATTTCTGCCGTTGCGTACTTTAGAGTTATTGGCAGCACAAAAACTAAAATTAGATTGCGAGCCAAGAGCCAAAGGAGCAGTACCTGACACATTGCGTAATGCTGACCGATATGGCCTTTTGAGCTATTTTATCCGTAAAGGTAATTGCAAAATTTGCACGCTTCCGGCATGCCGTGTCGGAAGGCAATCTTGGCACAGAGTTTGCAAAGTCTGTGAAGTTTTTGCGGCTATCGCCTTTGTTATCTCAACTGCGGGGATTTTTCCGCTGGAGAGATTACTGACAATCTGTTGGCACCGGAACGTCTTAATTGGCGTCAACAGACGTCACGGGATGGGTCAAGTTTCTTGAAATAATTTAAGGCTCGTTGGCTGCGAAACAACGTTATAATCTAAGATTACAGAAGCCTGACAATAAGTGAGTAACGTAAAAAGAAAGAGGGATGAAAGTCTTCTATCATGTCTTATTTTTTGTTTTCTGCGAATTCCCGGTCAAATAAAACTTGGAGATGTCCATATTTATTGCAACAAGGAAGTTAAAAATAAGGATAGTGAATCATGTAATGCTCTCATGGAGTTGCAGATCGGAATAATGTTCTGAAAAGAATCGCGGGATGGTCACGAGGGGGAAGGGGGGCTAAAAATGCCCATATTTTTATGGTAATACCTGATATAGCTTCCATTGCGTTATTCTCAACTACTGTAGAGCAATATATCATCTTGTTTCCCTCCTTGGTACCCGTTTCTTCTTTTTTTTTTTTTTTCTACAGCTTTTTTTGCATTAGCTTCGTCTTCAAGAAAGCCACAGAAGTTTAAAAGCTTCGCACTCTAAGACAAAATAAATCTATATTTCCTAAAGATATGCGCAAACTAATCCGTCTGGCGTATTCTGTTTCGCCTTCCAGCTGGCCGGCAACTACAAGTTTGGCTACAAAGAGAGCCACACCAGCGGCGGCTCCTTCCGTCAGGAGGCCGGAGATGCCTGGGGCAACAAAGTCGGCTCTTACGGCCTGACTGACGCGGACGGCCGCGTCCGTGTCGTCAAGTACGTCGCCGACGGCCACGGCTTCCGCGCCTCTGTACACACCAACGAGCCCGGCACCGCCGCCTCCCATCCCGCTGCCGCCTCCTTCGACGCTCCCCACAAAGTCGCCGCTGTCGGCGTCGCCGTGGCTGCCCCGGTCGCTAAGGTTGCCGTCGCCGCTCCCGTCTTGGCCGCTCCCGTCGCGGTCGCTCACGCCGCCCCCGTCGCGGTCGCTCACGCCGCCCCCGTTGCGGTCGCTCACGCCGCCCCAGTCGCCGTGGCTCACTCTGCTCCCGTTGCTGTGGCCCACGCTGCCCCCGTAGCTGTCGGCTACGGACACGGATACGGATACGGACACGGGCTTGGTCTTGGCTATGGTCTCGGCCACGGCTATGGCCACGGCGTCGCCGTTGTTGGTCATGGATACGGACTTGGCTACGGTCACGGTCTTGGGCTTGGTCTCGGCTACGGACATGGACTCGGATACGGCGGCTTCAAGCACTACTAACTTATTTAAAACTGTACAAACAATTTTAGTGTTATATATTTCTGTTTGCTCTACTTTTTTCCTCTTCGTCTCCCACCTCGGTATCTTCAATTGTCTCTGCGTGCCATCTGCCCACTGTGATCGTGTGTACAGTGTCTTAGTCTCTCTTTCTTGTCAGCTTGCGAATGTCAACAATAAATGTTATTTGTCGAGAAAACGGTCGTTTTCTTCTTCTTATAGGGTTATTGCATACCAGAAGGAAACGTTCTGCAACGTTTAATTTATACATTGCAGTCATCTCTCCACGTGTTTAAGCCAGAGCACTACAAACGTTGCTTAGGGTCAAAGCGCTAACATGGCTCTGAAATAAAAACAATATAACATATATCGGGTTAACCCCTTGTTCATCCTATTGTGAATTGTGTCAATTTAAAAATATTATATATGAGGTACGGCTTTATCATTCACAGTGTATCAAAACTTCGTGATGCAGGCTAAAGAATCCAGACTAACAGTCGTACACTACACTTGCTTAACATTAGACACCCTTTGGATAGACTAATTTTATTCTGGCTGAGATTACATTTAACAATTAACTTACCAACTATTAAGATATTTATACACAACATCTCTAAGCTACCTGAGAGGTGTGACTCTTGAGTATAAGTAAAAAGTTGGATTTGAAAGGCCTCGGATGTCGATCTTTAACTTTGGTAATGGTAGTTACTTTCTAACGGCTGTAGTGTATGATTTTGTTTCCAAAAACTATTTTTCAGGGCTTGATCACTGAATTATTTTTTAAGCCAATGGGGACATTACACGACTACAAGGCGAAAGATTTATTAGCACACCAATATATTAGGCTAGTTCAATTCGCCTGAACTTGCTGAACCAGTTCAACAGTACAAGAACTGGCGCCCACGATTCAGTTTGAAGTGGCACGGCGCTGCACTGTTGCGTTCGATTCATCCCAGTACTGAACGAGTTCAGATCCAGTTCCTCAAAATCTTGAACCGACTCCGAAGTCAGTTTAGCGTCCGTGCAGACGCAGACGACGGGAGCAGACGATGTACTCTTCGTCCGTCTCTGCCCGCGGTGCCATTTCGCGGAGCTCTTGCTAAAATTTTTGCGATGTTTAAGAATAACGCCGAAACGAAGCTAACATCTCCTCTCAAACTAATGAACCCATGGTGGACGCGGAAGCGACATCCTAACGGGGGGTATGAATTGGCTCAAACATGATGTTTTAAAAGCGTCTTACGCCCCTGCTCGCGCAGGTTTGGCTCCCTGTTGTTGGAAGATTGGCCCACGTAAATTGTTATTTGTGATGCTACGTGAGTATTCACTCTGTTGTTATTCTTCTTAAAAGACACAAACAGAGTTTTATACCCGTGATTTTCCCCTGCCTTCAGCAGGTTTTAGATGCAGACTAAGGATTACTGTACGTTGCAGAAGTCTGCGATTTAGTACGGCACTCGCATGCTAACGTAGCTAAGCATGTTACTGCAAGCTTTGTTAGCCGATATCTGTTGCCGCCCATTAACGGGTCTTTGGAAGACGCTTAGGATCGCCATTGGCTTGGGAGTCTTGCCTTGACAAATTAGAGCGTGCTGGTAAAGTTACAGGGAGAAACGAAAGCAACATAAACGGCAAAAAGGACAAGGACGGGATTGTCCTTCCCTCGTCCTTCTGGCCGTTTATGTTGCTTTTCTTTATCCTCGTACCTTGGTAATTCTACGTGACAAGTTCATGAGAGTCAAAATAAACGCTTGAATTTAGATTACACAGTGACGGTCGATAACTGTTTCGGCCAAGCCGACGCTCTCGACAGGACTTCGCCTTCGAAGTGTCCACTATCGCGCGCTGCCCTCAGTAACTCCCGACTCAAAATCATCCTGATGGCTCGAACCTATCATCGAAATGAAAAACTCGAGAAACTTAGAATTAATCTATTATTTCCACAATAGTGTAAATTATATGGTGCCGTGGGCAGTCGAAGGAAACGAGAATGCTTATGGAAACGATAGAAAGCGGACGGTGACCTTTAGAAAAATGCAGACAGGAAGACATTTCGTGTTGAAAACGTTTTTAGTACACTCGAAAAAAGATACATTCATAGAAATATTTCGTTTATTTACTTTAAAACTAAAAAAACGTGAATGTTGTTATCAAACCTCGAAGATACAATGTAGCATACGACGTGCCGTGGAGAAACGAGAGCCAACAGACGCAGACAGCACCCTGTGCTTCTATAGCCCCCCCCCCCCCTTTTTTTTTCCACCTCAATAAAAAACAAGTTTTGCACATTGTTCATACGCGGCGCGAAGTAGTTTTTACGAGATTTGGTTGTCGGAAGAAAATGCAATTATTTTTGACGTTTGAACCGTGTACGTCTTGATAAGATAACATATATCTAATCTAAAACTAACCTATATATATCTTAATCATCAACATAAAGGGGGAAATTAGTAACGCTCCGCCAGGAGCCGGACTTTGTTTACTACGGTTTTTGAGGTGAAAACGGGTATAGTCTGCCAGTCCTAACGCGGTAGCTGCGCTGGCTCTGCGGTGCCGCTGCACGACCCCTGAATTTCTCGGAACTCGGACAGAACTGGTTCAGAACTATCTGGCCGATTCGAACAAAGCTAACGTGTTCACTGTCTATGGACGCTGTAGACAGACACTTATAAACCTAGACAAAGCCGATTTTGTTTACGAAGGCTATATTTCAATTCAATTTATTTCAATTTTATCCTGAATGTAGTAGGAGGCAGTATATAGAACTAAGAGATGAGGAATAAAATATAACGTCAACAAAAGTTATGCGCATCGTTCCGATTCTGAAAAAAATAGACAGTTATGAACGCAGAAGAACCACTTACGAAGCATGGACATAATAAGCCACCTTTTTAGTTTCTTAAGCTGGCAATGGCTAGAGTTCTGTAAACATTACCTTTTTGAGGAGGCCATGGGGACCCTCTATGTTTGGACTTTCTCCATAATCCATGTTGTGCTCGAGAGAAAAAAACAAACTTCACTAATGAAGAGGGCGATGTATTGTGACTTCGGATAGAGTTTGCAAGCATGACCTTCTCAAACGAAATAGGTGAGAGTCGAATTGGAATTCACATAAGTTAAAAGCGTGCCGCTGTCATATGCCCCGCAAAAGTGCAAATTGAGATCAATTTAATCTCTGTGTCGGAGCCATTGCAAGTTGGCTTGTTTTGTTTCAGCGGCGTGTCACCGGCATGTTTTGAGATGGAGATAATTGAGAGTGCCCCTATTATATAGTATAAAGGTGCTTCAGGTAAATTTAACCAAGCTTTAAAAATATTTTTGTGCATTTTAGGAACACGATACCGAAAGAATAATTTTATTCATTGTTTGGAGCAAGTCAGACTATATTTTCGTGTTTTTCCCAATGAACTAATTATTTAAGATTAATCAATGAATTTTTGAAATATTCAATATAGGGAAAAAGTTTCAATGGCAGTTGTAGAGTGTCATCAGAAACATCCAATTCAGTGGCTTTTATCAAGAAACTTCTAACACTGTTCGTTTTCCTGGGTTTCAAAAAAAAAAAAAAAAAAAAGCACGCGAATTACAAAAAAAAACAAAAAAAAACGAATGTGACTTTGCGTTTGAGATCCTTGCAATGCAGCGCTCTCAGCCGTGGCTTGATTAAACTAGGCCCGCATGCTGAACAGAACACTGTTGATAGGGGTAATGAAATATTTGCGTTTTTTCGTGTTGTTTTTTCAATAATTCGCTAGCTTTTTTGAAGCCCTCTACTTAATTCGATGTTTATGAGGACGCTATACAACATTGTTATTAAACGTTTGCACTAAATTGAACTTTTCAGAAGTTCATTAATTGATCCTAAATAATTAGTTAATTGGGCAAATTACGAAAAACATTCTGACTTGCTCCAAACAATGAACTAAACTATTCCTTGGTTTTGTCTTCCTAAAATGCACAAAATACTCTTAAAAGTTGGCTCAAGTTACGTGGAAGACCTTGTAGAAAACTTCAAGCATGGCGCCGTGACTGATGCCCCAAGAGTGCAAGCCCGTGAAGCATGCGCGTGAGCGCAGTTTTGGCAAGCTTGCATTTGCACGGACTCGTCCGCGCGAGCAGAGACATGGCGGCGACTTGTCGCCCCACTTGCAATTGTCTATATGGCTTCAGGGCTATCAGTAAGCACGCGCTGCCAAGAATTGCAGATTTAACCGGCACGAGCGTGCTTGAGGTCGACTTGTGTAGGTTGCAGATCGAACGTTTTGATCAGAGTGTTGTTCTGTGTCGAACTATTAGCAGCAATATAAAGCCCCTTGATAAAGGCCTACGTAAACACATCGAGGGGCTTTACAGCGATATGGTTCGGTGCGCTCTCCTGTCATTCCCTCTCGTGACGTCATTACCTTGCGAACAACAAGTTCGATGGTGTTTGTAATGAGCATGGTGGAAGCTTGAACTCATTGCGCTCTGCGCTCTAAAACCAACACTGCCAACGCCGTCAAAATTGAAGTTCTTTCATTACTTTTATTTTTGTCAACAAGAAATCTTTTGCTGACGTCAGAGTTAGCATTCGGCAAATCGTGGCAGTCCGACCACAGCGACGCTTTTGATTGCGCACGTTGCCAATAGACGTTTTTACTGTCATCTTCTAAACCACAGCCCAGTCAGCCAGCCAGAAAGTGAGCGTGCATAACACAGTAACACAGCAATGAACGCGTCCTCATACGCATTTACGGAAAGGTGTATAAGCAGAAGGGAGCATGTCACTAAAACTATTAAAATATTTGGGCTACAAGCAGTTTGAGGGTGTTAGTTAAGATCGCACCTAAATACACTAAGATGACGTGATTACAAGAGGTTCTCGGTATGTCTCAAATTTAAGCATTTAATCGTATTGTAACATAAGAGTAGCTGTCCCGAAAGAGGCCGATAGTTTGAAGGTCGCCGCAACTGATTGGGACCCGTATCTTCACAAGGAAATGCTAGGTATAAGCGCTTCTGAG